CTAGAAAACCCCGTTGAGAGTACAATTACGCGTCAAAAGTTTTGCAACGCTAGCGCCAAATCTCTCCCCCACCATCACCACCACCACAACAACAACCCACTATAACTATGTCAACACCGCGTATTTTTGGACGTGAGATATCGCAAAATGTACGGCGTAAGCCAAATATAAGTCTTGCCGAGCGCAATATAGCCATCGGGATGTGGAAAGCTGGCTGTACGATGGTAGAGGTGGCGGACGCGTGCGGGCGCTCGAAATCCACCATATCGCGCCTTATCAAGAAGGCCACCACAACGGGCACAACAGAAGACAAACCACGCAGCGGACGTCCCCAAATACTGTCAAGGCACGCGCGTAAGTTAGTGTATCGAGCTGTCCAAAAAAATCTAAAGATAACCTACGCAGAGCTCCAAAAGGTCGCCCAAGTACACCCACCTAATGGGACCCCATCCGAGCCACCTAGCCGCTCCACGCTGTACAGAGTCCTCCGTAAGACTAGTTTGTTACACGTCCGCTGCAAAAAGCGTCCAAAGCTGACCCTTCAGCGCGCTCGTAAGCGCTTACGCTTCTGCAAGGAGTATCTCCATTTCGCGTAGCGTCAACGCACGCTCAAGTTCACTAACGAGTGCTCTATTCAGAAGGGTTCTAGCCACAATACTAAGTGGTGCTTTCGCTACAACGACGAGAAATAGAAGCCAAGGATGCTTACAGAGGTTACAACTGGTGGCAAACCTGCCCAGATGGTGTGGGCGGCAATATGGCTCGATGAACGTGGGTATCCTCGGCGGAGCGATCTCATTATAATGCAGCGAGATCCTGATGCTCCCCGTAGTGGTTACTCCGCCTAATCTTACATACAAGCGCTGCAACAAGGTCTTCTGCCTCACTAGAGGCCTTTACAACGCTTTATGCACGATAACGCGAGGATACACACGGCGCAGGTGGTTGCAAACTTCATGGCAAATCACGAGATCCAACCTATTGAATGGCCACCGTACTCACCAGATCTTAACCCAATTAAACACCTTTGGTGGCATCTCAAAAAGCTTCTCCATCTTCGATACCCGCAATACAACAACCTCTCAAGGGCTGAAGATAAGTAGGATAGATTCTGTAACGCGCTGAAATTGTGCTGGCGGAGTATCCCCGGCGCTCTAATCAAGTCCCTTATATTGTCTATGCCACGCCGCCTTAAAGCTTGTATCAAAGCCAAAGGGTGGCATACAAGGTACTAGCTATCGACAATAAAATCCTGCTTTAAAACATTAAAAAAGATGTTGGTTTAGGTGAGTTATCCACCCAAAACAGCATTGCCCAAAATGGTGGTTCGGCGCTTCGGCAGCTTGGCGTTGCAAAACTTTTGACCTAGTACTGTACTTAGGAGGATTTCATACTACTTTCGTATCTAGCACCTATTTAGTGTAAGCCTTAGGAAGTACCTTCGCAGACTGTCAGCTCCGCATCTGAGCAGTGAATAATAGTACATCAGCTGATATGTGATCTTGTCTTATAGTCACATAGATCTCGTGACATCTGCAGTTCAAAACCTGCGTCGCATTCGCGACACGGACGGATTTATTAGTGACTCCTGACTCGCAGACTTACTCTATGGTCTGGCCTCTAGTGAGACGTTCGGGACAATCTCTATTGAGATAAAGACACAGAATGCGGCGGTCATCGTCAGGAAACAAGAAGCTGGTACTGATGTTGTCTTTGAGGTGTTCGAGCTGTTGCCGCCAAACGAGACTGTGATACGAACAAAGGGTCGACTTAAGCGCTCCTTTCTGACTTTTGCCTATTGAATACCCTTCAAACAGTTCTAGGAGCGAGGTCTAATTGAAGCATGAGCACAAACGCTTGGAAGGATAAGCTGGGAAGAAGCTCCGGGCTTCCAGCCTCAGACAGACAAAGAGTAGCAAGACCACTATGAGACTCACGATACCACGCACCTAGGCTTGATTACTGATTTACTCGTACACTTCCTATCCGTCATCAGCTAGCCTACTGACTTGCAGGGTGTTTAAAAAAAACACTCACGAAGATGTCCTATGCAAACACAGCTCCCCACTATAGAGAAGATTAGCCTTGTGGCTCCTTGTCCGCACAACTATGCAGCTCTAGATCGCTCGCACGTCGTCTATGAGCGTATACAAGGCTGTCATAGTGAACCTGTTAGCGAGGCTTCTCTAAAGTGTAAAAGCACATTACAAGATAACAGGTATGTAAGGTTGATTTACGTGTTAATGTGCTTTTCGATCCTATGTTGCTATCAGTTGAGCGTGATTTATTTCTGTTTTAAAACCTGATGACACGAGCCTTGCTGTTAGCCGAGCAGTACTAAATTGCCCGAGTAGCCTGCTAACGTGTTGTGTGGGACTCAAGACATCGACCTAGTGCACATCACCTCCGCCAAATTGACCGGCCGCTTACAGAAGGTGAGGAAACTGATTCCCAGACCCTTCTTCGATCTCTACACTAAGTCAGCCCAAACGCTCGTACACTAGGCACGATTATCCATAGTCGCTAGGATCGACCGCGTAACGAACAGCGCAGGTAGATGTATAGATATAACAGTGCTCGCAGATCTCTAGCCCTACAACGAGCTTAACATCTATATCCCAGCAATAAATGACTTCGTTACAAAAATATCTAGTAGAACACGTCAAACTGGTGTATCAAATTTTCAATCGACTTCAAAATGCCTAGTATGTCCCAAGCATGAGCTGCTCACCAGCTTCAGCGGCTCGGGAGAATACACGCGCTTCTACTTGGCGACAGTGGAGAGATAGGTCGAAGACCACCTTTCCTCTTAGACTGAGCGACACATGTCCGATAACACGTCCTGCGAGAAGCTACGACAGCTTCTGCAAGAGTATTTCCACCAGGCAAGCTCTTCATACAGCACCGCAAGCGATATACTAGGGAGTCTATCTATCGCGTATCTCACTGTAATGGAGTTGTAAGTTGCATGTGACAAGTGCGCTTGTAGGATGTATCTATTACTGTACGACTTCAATCCAGAGGTGGAATTGTCCTCTTTCAATTCGCTTTCTTTGCCCTTCGAGAGTCAATTGGGGCGGCTGTTGGTCGCTAAGGCCTACCTGCAATGCCACCGAAGAGATGCGAGGGCTGATGCTCTATCTCTCTACTGCGACTTTGGGTTTCTATCTTCGTTCGCAGTTAGGTTTTCTGATGGATCTCTAGAATATTATAGGTTGCTCTCAGATATTAAGCAGCAGGCAACGGTAGCACGTTAAGAGAAGTGCTGCGAGTTGGCTCAGAAGAAACAACAGCATTACGACCTTGTAGCTGCGTCTGATAGGCGTGACTGCGACTACTAAGTGGTTTACAACGAGTACTACGGATTAAGCAGTACTGAGCATGCACCCTGGTGCAGGAAATGTAGCTTACGGACTCAAGCTGAGCAACTCGAAATTTATGTTTATGAATGGCCGCTTTATTTAGACTAAGCGATCGCAAAAGCAACAGTGTTTGAACTACAAATCCCAACGGCCTATAGTCACCAGCGCGACGCGACAATGCTCTTACGAGTGGAAATGCTAGGCTTCATTCATGCCAGAACTACAGACCCGAGAGCGAGATACGATCTCTACACGCAAGATGGGTTGAGTAGTTTTTGGACCTCCCCGTCCGATCGGCGTGTTTACCTTGAATCCGAGGTCAAGCCACTCACAGGGAGCCATTACAGCGTTAAAGAGGGTGTTGACTTCCTAAAAGAAAAGGAAGTCTGTGTTGAAAATGCACTTCAATACCAGTACTTCGACAGCTCGTACAACACCTTCATTACCATTCTGGATTCCAGTCAACAAGTATCCAAAAATTGCACATACCAACTTCCGTCTCGCTCGTCGCAATTTCAAGCTTACTTGAGGTCATCTACCATATTGAATGTCATAACCCCGAACCAGGTGATTGCACGCTTGTCCGATTGCCCCCCGCACTTCTCTTTGGTCGAATACAAGACCTTCAGGTGTCTTCCTATTGGGTACAGAATCCAGTATCAGAATCTTCTGGTGCAGCTTGCAATGCCAACTATTGACTTGAATAAGATCGAGACGCATTGCTTGCTTTTGCAGACCATGCACCGCGCAGGTCCGCCTACAAGCAACAACAAGCTAGAGCGTGTTGCCCACGAGATCCTCATGGATGAGACGTTCTTTCGAGCCCTTGTGGATAAGATCGAAACGGCTCTGAGGCGCATCAGCGAAAATTGGGAGACTTGGAGAGCTGTCGCCGCTCTAGTGCAGGTAATGTTGCGAATACTCAGCATCAATGCTTCGGATCAGATTGCCACAAGATGTACGCAGCTGCTTCAAGAGGCTCGTGTGATATCATTGGAATGGTTGACTCGCCTCAAGAAACGGCTCCCTACAGTAATAGACGATCTGCAGCGGAAAGAGCTCTCTTCCAGACTTACCGAAATAGGTTTCCTGTGTACGAATACATTCGACATCGACGGAAGATTCCTAAAAGACATCCTTTGTTCCCCTTCAAGAGTTTCGGTACTGCTTCAGGCTTCAATCGTGGTGCAAGAGAACAAAGATGCCACATCTTCGGAGCACGAGTATCTCCATCGCGCTATGCTGCAGTCGTGGAGATCACTGCTTCCTCGAGCTTTGTCAGTGCTTACCAGAGAGATATCTTCTGACATCGTACAAGAAGGTCTCAACCGAGCTGTGGCGGCATTGTAGGCAGTCTTTCGCCCTACAAATCACTGGAGCGTACTTGAGGATCCTCAACACCACTGGGTCCACGTCGAGTACGATGCACAAGCTGTACACCTCAGCCTCCTTACCGCTGAGTTGCTCGTGAACGGGCTGCCACTTTCTCGACTGCCAGTGCAATACTGTCAACATCAATTGTATGCTTCGCCCCTCGACAAGGTGCCTATAGAGGTGACATCTGCTGTAGAGCCAGGCATGGAGTTTTCTGCGATGCACCCCTTCCACCCCAAATGGTGTTACAACCTCAATTTCGGAATGGAAGGCTCGAATATGCTTATCCTAGCTGCTCGAGGTGGAACGAAATTTGATCTTGTCCCCTCTCGTGTATTCGAGAATCGACTTCCGACAATGTCCGTTGCTGACTACTTCCACTGGTATGACCACGATACCGGGAAAGTAGAAATTCGCCCCCGAGACGATTCCTGGGCTTCAGTCAGTGGGCTGTGGCGCCCGAAGAGATATGGACCTAGTTGGCGCCTCTAGAGGGTAGACACCTATCTGGTCAGTCCAGCAAGCAATACTGGCAGCACAATACCGAACATCCTGTCGCCTTTGGAGCTTCTGTTGCACATTCATATCTTGTCTACAAAGTCTTTTATTCTCTCCATAGAGCTTCCCCGGCGACGACTAGGCTTCCATCACAAGCAGGGCGATTCTAAGATCCCTTCGCATGAATATAAGGGAATGGTCATCGATACCGATCAGCGAATGGGAACGATGTCTGGACTGGCCAGCGTACTTGTTTTCAAGGCTGAACAGGGAATCGAGCATCGCTTGGCTCTCATAGCAGAGGGCGTTGTGGCATATTCAAGGACAACGACGGGGCATGTTTCTGTTTCGACTAGATTGGACGCGGTTTGTGCGACCCACGCGTATCAGGTAGACCAGCTTTTGGGACGGCTGATAGGCAACGGAAGTTTGCAAAGCAAGCTCCTCCTGTGCTACCTTCATGCACTTACTTCGCACTGCCTGCCAGACATCCTGACCGGCTATACTGGGACTGAGGCTGCACTACTAATCTTACAGTCAGGCGCAGTATCATCCTTCGACGTGCTGACAACGGCCAATATTGGCCTCCTGGAGTCCATCGCTCGACTGACACCAGGACGGATGTTCTATCCTTCTCATAAGGAGGTCATGCAAGAGGTCCATTGAGACAAAACATATCCTCGTTGTCCCGGCTTCTATACGGCGGTCGACAGACTGTTCTCCATATCAAAGAGAACGAAGCTGCTTCATTCTAGCGACATCTATGTAGATCCACCGAAGCTAGACTTTCTGAAGCTTCACCTGCTTGAGAGAGACACGATAAGAACATCGTCTGTCCGCGTCGATGGCTTTGGCGCAGAGTACCATACCCGTACTTTTAATCAGTGTTATGAAGTCATAGCTAGCGTTGCCGACCCGCAACGGGGACCGCGTGGTGCCGTTGCCGCTGAACTGATTTTTCGCAGGCAGGCTACTCTCCACTCTCCTGTCCACGCGCATAGCCTCGTGAAATCCCTTCGAACAATCCATCTGCATGACGCCACAGTCCAAGGTTACAACGCATTATTGGAGCCACCCACGCTTCGTTACAACGCTTCATGGCTCGTGGAGCCATCTTCCTTCCTCCCAGACATGTGGTGCAACCTGCACTCATGGCTTGCGACAACGCCTTGGCATTATAACAAGTTCGATCTGATGATTTGGTTGTCAACTGCAGCGTTCACGGAATCCGCAGACACGGATGTCATCCAAGCCCTGGCCGCATTCTATAATTGCTCTGATCTAGCGCCAGTCGAAATCCCTTCGGACGCCAGATTCGACTTAGCAGAAGGAGATTCTCCTGCTTTATCTACCATTAAGAATCTGGTACAGATACATCAACCTTACGAAGTTTGTCCTGAGTATGACTTACCGCAGCTGCCCGGCGAGCAGTATTGGCAATGGGACAGGAGAAGAAGAACACTTTTTGAGATGCATCAAAGCAACGCTGCCAAGACTGTCGCACGCGCACTCCACAACCAGTGGCCCTGTGAGGTACCAAGTACACCACGTACTCAGTTTGCGGAAACATACCTGAATACTGAGAGGGCTATGTCGGAGGTTGGGCGAATGTTCAAAATCTGGTACGATAACCGTTGCTTTTATCGATACCTTGAGAACATCTCATCGACTCTGGCACGACAAGATGTTGACCCTTTGAGGATTAGAGACAACCGCGTCGCTTATGTGCGCGAAAACTGTAGAGGGATACATAAATCCTCTTTCTGCAGTGTCAAAGACATCTTCGGCTTAGAGGCGCCGGCATTAGTTGCATTTTGTAAGTCTACCCCAGCACTGTACACTACAGACAACTCGGATACGCGTTTACTGGGTGCGCTTCATCAACTTCTTGACGTCGTCCTCTCCCACACGCTATACTAATATGATGTATAGCATCGAGCCCTACCGACTTGTGCTTGTCAATGTTGCCGACGCCGCTCCCAAAGTTGACAGAGCAGCGAGCCAAAGACAAAGGTATCGATCAAGCCAGGATGCGGCTCACGTCGCTTTTCCGAAAGCTCAGACCCGGTGCAAAGTCTCTACGTGAGAAGGATTACCTCTTGGACTTATACGCAAGTTGCGACTCGCTTGCACTCCACAGAAAACCACCCCCAATACGTGCGGACATGACACAAAGCGAGCTCTACAGGCTCGTGGAGAGATACGTGCACGATTGCCAGCAGTATCTTGATGATACGAGCTCCATCCTACAAAACCATATTCACACAGGCGATGGGATTGCGGTCAAAATAGGCCAATCACCCCGAGTCTCCCCCATATTCTGGCTTCGTCAGTTAAATAGAGATCGCTTCGATACCCTGACTGAGGCTTGGAAAGTAGTAGTCATCCAGTACGGTCTTTCTTTGACCCAGCTCCAGCGCGCCAGGAGACTTCTGGCAGTTTCTCTTCACCCATATGAGTTTGCCGAAGAGTTGTACAACCGTGGGCACCAGAATTGGAAACCCATGGAGTTTTTGAGACGTTGCTGCTTGAGGCCGAGAGTGGTCTACTAGTCCGCGAGGTGCAGGAAGAAATCGCAAAACGGATGCGATGCCCACCGAAGCAAGCAAACTCCGTCATGCAATTCAACATGGGAAAGGGAAAGTCCTCCGTCGTCATCCCGACCATCGCTGCCTATCTGGCTCAAGGCGACTTGTGAGTGATCCTGTCCGCATTATGTACCTTTCATCGTACTGGCTCCCGCCGATAAAGGCTCGTCAGAGTCATTGTTGCAAAGTCGCAGTCACGACAGATGTTTCAAATGCTGGTCGAATAGCTCGGCGGGCTGCTCAACAGGAGAATCTACCATATACCTTTCTCTAGAGCCCTTAAACTCAGTCCCTCCGAAGCTGATGCTATTGGCGAGATTTTACAAGAATGCAGGGCTAACCGTAGTATTCTGCTCGTCCAACCTGAACACATCTTGTCCTTCAAGCTTATGGGCATCGAGTGCCTCAGCGGGCAGTCTGACGTAGGAAGGTCACTTTTGCGAACTCAGCATTTCTTCGACAGACACTCCCGGGACATTTTCGATGAAAGTGATGGAAATTCCATCGTCAAGTTTGAATTGGTGTACACAATGGGTATGTGCCGCAAACGACTGTCACTGCTAAATTTCGCTGTCTCTACCTAGAAGGATTGATCAGTATCAGCCTGCTAAGTCGCGGCGTCACATGTTTACGTCGTCTTGAGTCCTCATACTGACCTATTTTCAGGTACCCAAGCGCCAATACAGCTCAATCCAGACAGATGGATCATAATCCACTCACTCCTGGGATTGGTCACCAGATACACCGCCGATGTCAAGACAATGTTTCCCTCTTCGATTGAATTCAACAAACACCAGGCGTCACATTATCCTCGCACGCGTATTCTCCGTGGTGATGCAGAAGAAAAGCTGCTGGACCTGATCACGGAACACATATGCATGGTCGGCATCTCAGGCCTTCTTTCCATAGCGCGGCAGCCTTCCGAGATGAGACAGACTATCCTACGCTACATCCGCCAGCGTAATCTCACCCCTACAGACGTTGACGCAGTTGAAAAAGGGACTTTCTCCACAGAAACCACCGAAGGCCTGCTGCTCCTCTTGCGGGGTCTCATTGCAGGCGGTGTGCTAAGCTTTGCGCTAAAGTCCAAGCGATGGAGGGTCAATTACGGTATCGCCCGCAGCCGCAAACCAAAAACTCAATTGGCTGTGCCATACCGCTCGAAAGACAGCCCGTCGCCCCGGTCCGAGTTCAGTCATCCGGATGTGGTCATCACGCTCACGTCACTTACCTATTACTATGGCGACCTAGATGATCAGGACCTCTTTGACACGTTTGCACATTTCGAGAAGTCGGATCAATCCGATGTTGAGTACGAAATATGAGTCCGCTCGGCAAGAGCTCTTCCCGAAGCCTTCCAGCACCTCACGGGCATCAACATGAAAGATCGTCATCAGTGCATCACGGAGATATTCCCATCGATTGTTTTCTGTCCCACATTGTTTTGCCCAAAGCGATGAAGGAGTTTCCATCCAAGCTCTCTGCATCCGGCTGGGACCTTGGTGCCGTCAAATCTCATCCCACGACCGGCTTCAGCGGCACGAACGACTCACGTCAAGTACTCCCGCTCAGGGTTCGTTATATTGATTCCGAAAAACAGAACCACACCAATGCCCTAGTGTTGGCTTACCTACTGCAGGATGAGAATTCTGTCAAACTGCTACCGTCGCAGACAGATGCTGAGCGTCTACTGGAGATCGTCGACGCAATGGAATTGCCGACTCGGGTGATTCTCGATGCTGGTGCGCAAATATTGGAGCTCAGTAACTTTCAAGTGGTTGAAACGTGGCTTCGCATAAGCAACTCAAACGATATCAAAGCAAAAGCAGTCATCTTCTTCAACGACCATGAAAAACTCTCGGTCCTCGATCACAATGGCTGCGTTGAGCGACTGCAAACATCGCCGTTTTCGAAGCATCTGCAAGAATGTCTTGTATATCTCGACCAGGCCCACACCTGGGGAACGGATTTGAAGATGCCGAAGCAATACCAGGCCGCTGTAACGTTAGGCGCAAACTTGACAAAGGATGCGCTAGTGCAAGCATGTATGCGGATGCAGAAGCTGAGCAAGGGCCAGTCAATCGTCTTCTGCATTCCGGAAGAGATACAGACAAAGATTCTGCAGTGCACCTCAAAGTCGTGCAGTACAGAGATAGAAGTTTCTGTTCTTTTGGTATGGGCAATCGCAGAGACGTGGGCAGACATGCGGCGGAATATACCTTTGTGGGCTGCTCAAGGTCACCGCTATGAGGACTACAAGGATTGCTTGAACGGAGCGGAAGCAACTGTAGAGCAAGCGAAATCTTTTCTCGAAACAGAAGCGCAAAGCCTCGAAGATCGCTATCGACCTCGTCCTGGTAATCTATCCGATGCAATGAAGGATCGGGACACCATCAATAGTAGCATTCGGGAGATCCTCAAGCGTTATCGAGACTTCGAGGCAGTGTCTCTAGACACAGCAACGCTTCAAGAAGAGCAAGAGAGAGAACTCTCAACAGAAATCGAGGAAGAGCGCGAAGTCCAGAGACCTGCACCTATGGAAGCTGAGAAGCACAAATTACACCCTGACCTTGTCAGGCTGGTGGACGCTGGCGTTTTTCCGGAAAGGTCAAGCGCATTCATATCCGCGTTTCAGACTCTGAAGTCAACGAGTGCTGCAAAACAATTTGATCTTGAACAATTCCCAGAAGACCTGCTCATGACAGCGGACTTCGAGCGCACTGCCAAGCACCCACAAGGAGTCATGTCAGACTCGTACGTCTCGGACTCGTATCTCAGGCCTTTGCAATGAATCCTCTCAGTCACGATGGGACATGAGCCCTCCGCTGACTGGTGCTTAATCATCCTTAGTCCCTTCGAAGCTGAACAACTCATCGCGAAAATTCGAACCTCGAAGCTAGTGACACTGCATCTTTACGCTCCGCGTCCTAATCGGAGCTATGGCCCACTCGATACGCTCGACCTGTATTGCGTCGGCCGTGAGTTCTCTGCAGGCATCTTGAGCCTTTGCCGAAGCCAGATCGTTCAGCTCAATCTCTTCGCCAGCCAACTCTACTTCCAGTCCTACGCAGAGTATGCCGAGCTGTGTAGATACCTGGGTCTAGCTTGGAAAACTCCTAGAGGGGGACAGAAGCTGCAGGTCGACGGATTTATTGTACCGCCTGCTGGTGTCTGGTGCTTGAACGCGAGTCCTGTACGGCTCTTGAAAGATTATATGAAGACGAGACGAGAAGGGGAGGACATGGAGAAGACGCATCTCGTTAAAGTGCTTGAGTGTGGCTTGCTGGAGAAGTGCGAAATCGATAGCGATTAGATTGGGCGCGCCACTTTGATACTTCCCCGATCCTTGTCACGCTTCATCACGCCGAGCATTAAGAACGAGATACTCGAGAAAATGTCTAGATTTAGAAACGCATGCAAAATTGAAACTAAAGATATTTGTCCAACTGAATTTCGCCTCGAAAGTAGTTCCTGGACTTCGTACTGACCTCTGCACGTCTTGTAACTTCGCACCAACGTTAGTGTAACCGTCCCCTCGATCTCATTCGTTGCTAAGAAAACTCTGTAAGGAATTGCGTGCAAAATGTATCCCCAACATCCGACAGCATACGCGATAGAACGCTATGAGAACATGAGTATCATGGTTGATACCATAGCCATACTTGAGAGAGATCTTCCATACATGTATCAAGGCCGATAGTCAACCACGAGCTGGAGGCGTCAATATGATCAGGTTGTGATAGCACAGGAATCAGATCTCGTCAAAATAATCATCAGTTCCTGATCGGTAGTAAATCTCGAATTTCCCCCTTTCGCAGATAGGGTGATCTACGCTTCTGACCAGTGAAGCAGGCGACTGGTTCTGTTAGACTCTCCAGCGGTGTACCCTGAGGCTACGGACGATCTTCCGGATTGGATATCATGGATGTAATGTACCAAGTCCGATCAAGAGACTACAATGTTACATTGTCTGGTAGGTACGCTGCACGGGGAAGCACACACTATGAAATCCTGACGTTTAGTTGCATGGTAGATATCAGTCCGTGTCATGATATCATATAAAGCTAGGCTCTTGCTCTGTATTTGCTTTTGTCGTCACAAGAAACGAAGGGGGGCTCAGTCTTCGGTAAAGCTGCTTCACTGACCTTTCTTCCTCCTCGAAAGATGAAAACTGTTAAGGCCATTAATCGTTGACACCCACTGAAAATATGCGTAGAAGCTCACGGGGTGTATGCTATCAGTTCCAGGAAAATGGTCACTGCAATTACGGTTCGGGTTGCAAGTTCTCTCACCCTGGCGGCTCACGACCGGTATCAAGCAGAGGGGTAGGTGGCCAGGATAGAACGATTTATTCCGACCTCTCTTTGCTAAATTGTTAAAGAGGCAACTACATCTTCTCCCGTACCATCAGCGCAGAGCAGAGCAGGATTTAGACGCAATCTCGGCTTTTTTCACCCAGTATCCAGACTTTCCCTATGATCTCAAGAGGAGCGTGGCGGAGGAGTTTTATCGCATGTGCGACTTCTTTGCTTGGGACAAGGACTGTGAGGAACGTAAACAAGCTCGTCGGATATTCAACGACGCCCTGGTCATACGATTTAATGGCTTGTACGGTACCGATGTCGCTGACATCGAGAACTGGCATAAGCTTTGTGTAGCCCTCTACATTGAGCCATTGCCTGACACTATTCCTCACTGCAAGAAGGTATGATTGTGGCAGCCATTCAAGAAAACCCTTTTCTAAGCATGAACAGAAGATAAAGACGATTCACGTCAATCTTGTAGATCTGGTGGACGTCTCGCGAGATGCAGTCGAGCTCTTTCCTTCTCTCGAAGAGTTGAGGGAGTATACTATTGGTAGCGGAAAGTTTTTCCCAAAGAGATCCGCCTATGCTGGTGGGGTTCTGAAATTCCTGCTACGCGAGATCTTGTGATCCTCGTACGGGTGAGACAGTACGCAAGGAATATCAAAGCACGTACACATAGTTTGCGATCGACCACAGTATGCTGGAAGTTTTGTAGAGTATCCATGTAGTTGCAGTACCATCCATTCGGCAAGTTGGCTGTCACCCAGACGTAAGCATCAAAAGCGCATCACCTAAAGTCTCAGCGCAATGCGTTACATTGAGCGCTCTATTACTAACAGCGGACTTCACCTGCACCACCTTTGTCTCTCCGCCTCGATGTCAATCTGACCGTTGCTGTCGTAGTGCGTCGGACTGATCACATCCACTACCTTCTGGACATCTGGATCTAGTGGATTGTTTCGCAAACGCTAGTGTCCGTGTATGAAGCTGCTCAGCGTGCGATAGAGGCCGTTTACAACCTTGTTGTACTTTTCGTCACAAACCAGCGTTCGGAGAGGCTGGTCGTCACGACTTGAATTTTGTCTGTACTGTTTCCATCGAGCTTATCAAAACAGCCTCCACCGATTACCAAAACCTTGCTGTCTAGAATCAAAAGCCGGCAGGTGCTCGAACAGCCACCGGCAAGCTACAAGAAGTTCAACATCTTGAGTTCCGCTCGATGCCGTGATCGGGTGGCCGATGTTGATGCAGCTTTCCTTAATCTGTTCTGGCATTGTTATGAGGCAACGTGCATTCATTATCTCGTTTCTTTCGAGTCGACTGCGAAGGTGTTGGAGCTCGTTCTCTCGTGGTTTTCATTGTCTTTGAAGCTCTGACGAGACGTTCACGTCACATTGCTGTGAACGGCTTAATGTTGCGACAGTCGATCGAAGCTCGTTGTATTGTAGTGCTAGATAATCAACGTGCTGTTTTGTGTCTTCTGCCAAGTTCAGGCTCATCAATCTCACTGAGACTACTCGTTCGTCGAGTTCTTTGACGTGTTTTTCCGTGCTGCGGGCTAGAACAGCAGTCTCATCAAGATGCGATGCAGTTTGCAACCATCTCTGTTGCAACACGAGGGAGCTGAGTTTATCCAGGAGTGTGTTTAGGTATCGCTCCGGATCTTTTAGGGATGTGAGAAGTCCCAGGGATTTGCAGAAAGTTTGTATCCCGGCGCAAAACTTCGTCCATGCTGGACATCGCTTGGCGCTCTTGTAGCAACTCCGATAGAAGGTTGCCCCGTACTTGTCAGGAATGCAAACCAGTCGGCAGACTTCGCGTTCAGTCAGTTCTGAGATGTATCGTCGGTCTTCATAGAACTAGATATCTGCCTCATCGAGATCGCTTCGGTATGTTGTGTTTCCGTCGAAGAAGCGCATACGGTATGTGTAACGAAGAAGCGTGAAGAACCACATCCGAGTCAGCTTAAATAGCTTTGTGATTGTCTGTGCTGGATCCTTCCAGAAAGAGACTGTAGCTTGCTGCAGATTGGAGTGAACATTGTCTTCTGGCACAGGCGCAGGGTACAGGACCTCGCGAAGCCAAGTATGCTTCTTCAAGAGCGTCTGTAACAAGTATTGTCTTCGAATGCGTGTAGCCATATATGGCATTTTGAGTCTAGCTAAGGTCTTTCATCCATGGGATGCGATATACCAGAAGTCCAACGATTTGTTCGGTTTATCTGGAATGACCTCCGATGGGATGTAATACAATAACTCAGAGACCTTAGCTAGGCCGAAACATACAACTGGAAAGTGGCCCATCATCGATAAGACGTGCTGTAGTCAGCGAGACTTCGGCAGCCAGCATCGATTGGGGCAGAATGTTTCGCCTCCAGATCGACGTCGCTGGTCAGTAGGGCCTCGAGAGCCCCAGCGACGAGAGGAGAACAGCACGTATACTTGTGGCGTGTAGGCTACTGATAGGCTTTGGTAGAATACCTTGTGTTTTCTAGCAAAGTATTTAACTGACTTGCAGCTATAGGCTAAAACACGAAGTAGGTATGCAGATCGACTTGCGTCCTGGAGCACGGTCTTTCAACGGGCGCTCGACATCTCGTAGAATGACTTGACAAGCAGAGAGAGCTGGCGGCCTGTGGTATTGAGTGCACGTTTTGAACGGAAATGCATGCCTTGAACCCACTGATTCCAGCGATTCGTTATTCGATCAACGTTACTCGCGCCATCTCGTCGCCGCAGGATCAAGCGTCTTGACGTCCGCCGCTTTGGGTGCAGTGATGCCGGGTGCGGGGTCGTGGGACCAATCGCCAGGTGTCACGAGGTGTATCGATAGATCAATCATGATCATAGACCGCAAGAATATTATGCGATCTGACGAGTAGGGAACATCACAACTTTCATAATGCTATGTTGGCCATCAGAATGCACAAGCAGAATTGGCTATGCTAACATTTCAACCACTTGAACAAGTCATCTTTAGAGTAGAGTAGACTTAAGAGCATGAGTCCGGAAAGCAAATTACTCTGGTTGGGATGGAAATTACTAACGCAAAACTTCACCCATAGCAACTTGGTGTCCTGTCACTTCCATAGCTCTCTATCGATACTGTCGCGTTTACCGTGGCTATGTTTTATCAAGTCCGAGTTTTCCTATCATTTGTATCGCCTCAAACATCGAAGGATCTCTGTAGCACGGTTGAGTGCAGGTATCATAGACAGAAGAATTTAGAGGAAATGTATGTGTTTTTGCTGAATGCATTGTCCTAGCTAGTTCTATATAAAAAGGTCACTGCAGTGCATAAGCAGTGAAGATTTTAAGGGTAGATGTAGCAGACTCTATACGCTTACAACCAGGAGACCTCTTTGTCTACTATATCACGCTTAACGTCCTCTACCCTCCTGTTGCGAACGAAGAAATGCGACGGCTGCTTGTATACCACCCACACAAGCCTCATCCTCGGTAATGCATCCTTGGGCTTCAGCAATCACGGTCCCTTCGACTCTGACGCTGCACACGAAGATTGCACGATCTTCGCCCGAAAATACCGGTTGAACATCAATCTCAAGCTTAGAAGAGCCAATCAGGCCTTGTAGTTCATCTCTCGGATGCACAACGTCCAAAGAGCCTTCCGCCATACGTGCAGCGTAGTATTTCAGACCGATGCGCTCGAACAACTTCTCGCATTCTGAAAGATCGCCCTGCGAATCATTGAATACCGCACCAAAGACGCTTTCCACCAGGTCGGAGTAAAACTTGTCAAGGCCTAAGCGAGCCAACAGTTTCCACGGATATGTCGCACCCTCGCTGAGGATCTTCTGTATCTCAGCACCACATTGTTCAAAAGTGTGGCCAGCGTTCTTGTGAGCCTGCACTACTTCTGGAGAGTGGTGACGCATGAACTGCCATAGTGGCACTTTCTCGCAGTATCGTACCTCGTGCGGGCGGTGATCTGGGCCCGTTTCGATGCGGACTAGATCTCTGTCCATGCTGAAATGAAGACAAAGATAACCGAGTATATTCTTGTTCCCAAGAGCTGCTTTGATGCGAGTCATCTGTCCTTGGGACAACTCAGGTAGGCAACGCGAGAGGAAAGTGGAGATGAGCACATCCAAGACTGCATCTCCCAGGAACTCAAGCCTCTGATAAGACTCTGTCTTAGCATCGATGCCACAGGAAGGATGCGTCAATGCTTCCAGCAGCAACAACTCATCTTGAAAGCGGTAGCCAATCAGGGTCTCAGCTTCGGGGTCTCTCGGACTGTTGGACTTCACCGATATTCGCTCTGGAAACTGAGGTACAACGGCGCTGATCTCAGGAAGGAAGACGTTGGTGCACGCTCTCGCCGCTTTGAAGCCTGAGTCAATGTATGCAGCTCCGATAAGAGCTTCAACGACATCGGCCAAGGCTTTGATTCCGAGTGTTCGCTCCTCCGCCTCTTGGTCTGCATCGGAGATGCGTGGAACTGACCATTTACGCCGCAGCGGGTCTGTCAAGATGAACGAGCCTAATCCCTTTGCTATAGCAGCTCTGGCGAGTCTGGCGTTCGATACAAGGCTGTCTTTCCGCTGAGAAAGGTACCCTTCCGGCCAGTTGCCGTGATCTGTGAATAGCTGGACAGAAGTTTGGAATTTTAGTAGCGCGTCTCCAAAGAACTCGAAGCGCTGATAGTTGGTTGCCCTCCCAGCAGACGGCGCAGAGATTGCTGTCACAATGTGCGATAGACTGCAAAACGAAACATTGAGCAGGATCGTTTCCTGCAGTTGGTGGGCTACGGTAGAGGCCTCAATGTGCCGCCAGAGAGATGGAACAAACAAGTTGAATATCGCGAATCTATGGTCCAGAAGATCGACTGTACATTCGCGAGCCCGAATTTGCACGGCTGCCGATGGTCTTCGTAGATCGACAGCCGGAGCAGCAGCAAAATGGTTCGTGAGCGCATTCGGCGCTTCGAAGTTCCGACGCTTGATGAGGGGGACGCACACTACTTCCAGATCGAGCTTTTGTTGCGGTTCGCTGGTCATGCAAAAGAAGACCAATGGTTTTCCGTTCAGCTTGGTAGATCGGACAAGTCCCTGGATATCCTCACTACTACTCGTTAGGGCGTCGAGCATGTCTACACGTCCTTCGTATGCCTTGAACCAATCCATCAACTGATTCTCTTCGATGTCTGGACCGAGGAGGAGCACAAAGTCTGTCTTGTGACTAACGCTCTGATCGGAACGTGTCGACTTATCTAGGAGCTGGGTGACAGCCCTTAGCTGTTCTAGCATGTCAATGCTTGCAACTGACTTCCGAGATTGGTTCCCGAAGCTGGCTTGGAAGATAGTCTCTGAATCCCAGTATAACAAGACATCTGGAATATAGGATAATCTTGTCGGAGTCGTGAGCCTCATTGACAGCTTCTCATGCGTTCGATTGCAACTGACTGTTATCGTGGTCTGATGCAAGTCGGGAGTCGCCCATGCCCGCGCCATCTGAGTAAACGGCTTTATCTGCTTGCTCCGCAATGCCTTTTTCAAGAGTTGCTCTGTGTTCGCATCATGGTCTTTCCACTCGTGTGTCAACGGGAGAAGGTGGCCATTCAAAAGTCCGGCTTCGAACAGAGCGACGTAACACTGGAAGGCCGCATCTCTCATCGCTGCTCGCTCGGTTCGCCATCCTCGTCGCCCACGAGTAGATCGAAGTGAAGATTTGACGCAATTGGGAAGTGTCACAGTGCAGGTAATCAGCCCGCTGTCCTTTTCCCTGAAAGAGAACACTGGGCGCGTTTCGGCATATCTCTGCCGAGGCATAACGTCGCAAAAGTGATGAAGATGTGACATGGCTTTCTCAGCTGTCAAGTAGGCTCTGTGGGTCTGGTCAGTCTTCTGATGGAGAATCTAAATGTGACATACCCTGTAGCTCCAACGCAAAGCGAGTCGTCCACTGACTCTTGTTCGTTCTCCAGTAACGCAATCCTTGTTCTCGCTCGATCATCGTCTTGGTACATCTTGGCTAAAGCGTTCTCGAGCTCTGGCCAGCTATCGAGCTTCGTCTGAATACTGTCTGTGGGGACCATAATGACGTACTGAGAGGCATACATCCTGGCGCGGCCGCGGCGCTGAATATATGACTTGAGGTTCGAAGGCGCATCGAAGCATACCACTAGATTGCATGCGGCCACATCGATCCCTTCTTCGAGCGCGTCCGTGGCGATGACGATGTTTTTCTTCCCAGTGCGGAATTCAAGCATAGTGTCTTTCTGTGCTTCCTTATCGAGCAGCTCACATAAGGCGAGTTTGCCGTGCGAACTGTTTGACAAGCCAACAAAAGTGGCACACTTGAACCTCGTCATTGTCCGCGGATGATTAGCCAGAATAGTGTAGAGTACACCGACTATAGCCCGCTGTTGGACGAAGATCAGTCCCGAGCATTGTTCCGGCTCCTGACGTTCTAAGAAGGCTATTAATCGTTCGACCTTGGGAGACAACTGACTCCGGAGGGACAGAACGTCAGGCGCTTGGGTGAGCTCTTCTCGATTGAATACATGCTGCAGTTGATATACCATTTTGTCTTCTTCTTTGATATAGAATGCTGACGCCTCCAAAAGTTCAGCTTTGTTTCTTATCCTTTCAGTTGTGCGAAGGATATAGTAGGCTGCTGCGGAAGGCCCGAGCTCTTTGTAGACATGTGTCGCCTTGTTGTAAAACTTCCTAATCTGATCAGAGAAGTCCGTGAACGATCCTTGCGAAGTCGATCTGCCAGCTCTAGTCGAACTCCGGTGCGGGACTGACGGAGCGCTTGATGTTCTTTGTTCAAGGGACAACCTCTCACTTAGTCTGCGAAGTTTCGAAAACACATGACCCGTGATAGACTCTTCCGAAGTTTTGCACGGGGGAAATTCAAGTCTCTGTACTTTTGGATGATGAACAAATTTGAGCAGGTCCTGTCGGTGTAGTCGTGGAGTGACGCATGTCGCGTCAAGATTGGCTTCGATGTTGCTTTGACATTGTAAGCATGACTTGAGACTGAAAATCGTCTGCGTGCTTACCTTAGTCCCTTCAGGTTCGATCTGAGGATTGGACTAGCAGAGAGACCCAGGATATGCGGTACAACGCCCGATCTTGCTTTAGTCGGATAGTAGAGATTTCTCATAATCCTGTTTCCAGCGTGCCCGCCGACACATGAATGAGCTGAGACTATCAGCCTGAACTTTTGTAGCAGAAGGTGCGATTACCTTCATCGAAGACGAGGAGTGCCAAGCGACGCATGGCTATGAAGCCGTGGCTCAACGCATCCTCTAGTACGGCGTGGGTTGAGACGACGATGCGAACACCTTCTAGCACGGAGTCCCAGGTACTTTGTTCACTCCAGCGGTCTACGTTGTCTGCGCCAGTCAAGAGCTTCGTTCTGACTGCTGGTAGATAGGAGCGCAAGTAAGCATGCTGCTGCGTGCATAAGGCTACAGTCGGAGCCATAAACCATACCAGCTGTTGAAAGTCAACTATTCAATCTTTGCGCATTGCTTGCATGTTTCGGTATGGGAACGTGCCTTTTCTGCTGGGCAGCAGTTTAGCTCCTCTCGGATACGAAGTACAGCTCTGTGTGGCGGAAATCAGCAAGCTTCTCACTTCCCACAAACTGGCTCACATAGCTGTTTTTCCACTGCCAGTATCCATCTGTATTCAGTCAGCACAAGTTTTGTCTCCCAACAAGCAGAAGCAGCACCACAACGATGACGTTCCCTTCCAAGCTACGCTTGAGCATCTCAGCCTGGTACGAGCGCACCCGTAATTCGTCGACTGAATCTTGTATCGTGTCGTCCATGGAGTATGCAGAAGTTTGTGTCAAAGATTGGGGAGAGTGTGCGACCTGATGTGATGCTAACAGTAAGCAGGCTGGAGGTGTGGTCGCGTCTGACGATGTGGGGCGCGCTTACCCGACCCCCTAGCTTGTTTCGGACTTGCAGTCTACGTATCAACGAGCAGTGGTGTCACGACATGCTGCAGTCTTGGCGATCATCACAAGATCTAGAGCGACTAGTGATAGATCACGACGCCGCATTTCTAACACATGTGAAGGCTCGAGTCGAGCTTGCTTGACTTAACGTGCTTAAACAGGCTGCTCACTGGGCTCACATTTGCGACCTAGACTGCCTTATTGATAAGCTCCAGGAACACTGATGAGCCTTTGGGATACTTCATGATGTCATCAACCGTTATCTTCCCTACATCAAAAAGTCTCCACTCGTGTACATCTCCAAGAGTCAGAGCTTGCACAGTGGGGAGAACGGCCCTACTGAGACCGCGGAGTAGATCACCCTGAGACCTGTCCAAGATATCAAGAAACTCAGCGTACTCGACGTTATTTGGAGTCATGATCCTGCGTCACAGTCACTGATAGTTCGAAATCAGCAGTGACCCTACTCACATCTTATCGGTGATACCGATGTCTGTACCGGCGACGCCCTGATCTAACATGAGACCTAGAATGCCTTTGCCGAATCTTGTCTCTAGCATACATAGGCGCTGTCCAAGCCTCCGTATGTCTGAGATCCACCGATACTTTGTTGTATACTCGTCCGTACTGGAATCGATAGCCGGAAATGTTTCTTCCATCATCCTCTCGGTCAAGTCGGCGACCGACCTGTTGAGCGGGTTTCCACGCTTGCCAGACCGTTGTGTCAGACTAGATGGGGTGACGGCTATTTCCCAGGTCGAGGTATCCGGGCCGCCACAGTCCTTGAACAATTGAAGGACGTGATATCTCCGAAGCAGCTGGGAACGAGACATGGTATGACCCAGACTAGCGATCACGCGGATTCTTTCCGCTCTCGAGACCATACACATGGCTTCTGAGGTCGTGCACCTCTCCTGGGTCTTGCATGATTCCAGGATGTCTTGCAATCCACCTATCAGGCAGGGACTGCCGATATGTATCAGAATCCTTGTCATTACTTCTGTCTTCCCTTTGCTCAGATTCTGGATTGCCCTTCGGATGGGAGGGGTAAGAAAAGTATCTCGCGGGGCTTGGTGCCCCCATACTTCACATTTTCGTTCTTCTTCTGCCAAATATGTTCCGAACAAATCAAGACTTGAAGGAGTATCATGTCTTCGAAGCTTTCTTCTATGCCCAGACTCGCCCTTATCGATGTCACCCCGTTTCCCCGTAGGTTTTCCAGATTGACCTGCAGCTCTAGTTGTGTCGCATCTCCTCGCTTCTTCTCTGTCTGCCACTGTGGGAGCTGCGGTTGACATGCTTCCATCGGGCGAACAATCTGCTGCGAATTCCACATTTGCCTCCTCGCCATCGAAACCATAGTGATCCTGGAAAGGAGGCCGTTGGCTACCATTCTGCGCTTGTCCCAAAATATCTTTTTCTGCCGCCGTTTTTCCAGAATCTGTGGTTCCGTCCAGCTGGGTCGAAGGACAGGTCGAGAAACCTCGGTCATTGCTCGCCTTAGTTGACAATAAATGACTGTTCATATCTACACCGAACAGAGATCGTGCAAGCGATTTCACATCGAGTGAATTCGGAAATTCATCTAGAGATAGCAGTGCAGGGTCCACTGATTGTCCAGCAAGAGTAAACATACTGAACGGTTCGTAACGTTAGCGCATCGTCGCCGAAAAGACTGGGCTGACTGACCCAAGGTGGCGCATCGTCTTCAGGACGACGCCAATGTCTTGACCGCAATCAAAGAAGATGACTGCTATCACTGCATTGACAGCTTTAGCAAGCACGCTTGCTGACTGTGCGCCTTCTTGCTCGTTGAATGTGATGTGGTCGCTGATACCCGTTCGTCTCGCAATGGACGCACGATGTTCGTTGCTGGTTACTTTCGTCTTGAAATCATTGGCATAAGCTCGACAGAAGTTAGCTTTCTTTCGTATCAAATATGCTCTATCCATTACCTCGTGTGACCCCTGCTTCGAAAGCTAAGTAGTTCAGTAAGAACTCACTAAGTGCAGTGCCAAGCTGAGCCAACTTTCGATTTCCATCCCAATCTTCCTCCACAGCTCCAGCTGCTCTTAGCGCTTTTTGTAAGTCATCATGTCTAGAACGGAATCTGTAGCCGACAATGTTCTCGATGACCTGAGCACTCGCAAACGAGGTCATTGCTTCCAGGCGCTAACAAGATTGTTTCTTGAGGGACAGATGGATGAAAAACATGAACGGTTAGATACATGCTATGCAGGAGACTGGAGTCAGCGGCAAGTGATATATTCCACAAATCCCGTGATACATGTCCGCGTCATCAAGCGTGCTGCGTACCTGTGCTTCTTCTCAGCGTTGATCGGTGTCCAACTGATATCAGCGCAGGAAAAGAAATCTCATCCGTTTGTGCCGGGTACTTGCAGCGTTCCGATGACGCTGTGTGATTGCCGATAGTGTGGGCGTGTCTGTTGTGCTAGGGCTTGCTTCCTCGCACCATTCCTAATGCAGTCTTTACCACAAGCACCCGTGGAAATGACCTCTTTCGGCTAGCGCACACGTTGGTGAGACTTGCCTGTCTGTGCCACGCCAGTCTTCTTTGCATTCCCGTAGCGCACGGCTCACGTTCTTCCAAACGCTGCAGCGAGACATATCCTATCAGCTGATCTTGCGACGTTGGACGCATCTTTCCGGCCTTCATCAACTCGCCTGATCAGGAATACATTGCCAACGGCTCAATTCTTGACACCGGTCAGCCAATCTTGGTATCGTTATTAGGCACTCTGCGGGTACGCACACGACTGAGGACGTTGGTTCGCGCTTCCACTGCCGTTACAGCACCCACAATCGCAATACCCAGCATCTGCTCTGTGGCGTTGTTTTTATAGTTTTACTGCACCACAAACTTCTTAGCTTGACTGTTGCTTCCATGCGTAGGTGGGGGCAACCTTTACCCACCCCTCTGTGCAGCTACAACCGACTGCGGGGTAACATAACGGCACGTGCAAGCCGGTCTGCGTCCGTTGTTTAGCTAGAGCCGATCCAAGATAGAGAGCGCGGAACTAGCCGCCACTTGCCGTTGGCGCTCGCATCCAGCGAATGACTGGATGCGTTAGCGTCGGCGTCTAATACTATGACATGAACAGACAAGCTTCGCGCAGAAGGCGCATCCTGTTGTGAGCGCTTTCGACAGCATCGATGCTGACCTCGAGCGCGCCGCTCTCTTTTCCAAGAGGGAAGCTACCAGAGCTTGCGTGGTTTTAGCATCTTGCATCTTGAAGCATCTGAAAGCTTACATTTCGTAAGCCTAGGACTACATCACATGACTAATGCATCCGAATACTCCAGAGCTCAGAGACACACTTGTACATACACACGAGAATACACTCATACATGAGACTCCATTCTACCATCACCCCTGCTTACAAATTCTATCAGGAGATGATTAGAGAGACCCAGATGGTAGAGAATACAGATGCGTAAATTCAGCTGAAAACCATTACAGAATAACTCTGGGGAAAGCTCCGAGGCTTGATCATGCAACACGGATGTTTTCAGAGAGGAACAGGCTCCACATACAAGCTACTCTTGTCGTTCTCCAGAAAGCGGCTCACCAGTGCTACTCTCTGCCCCAAATCTTTGATACCATAGGACAGGACGCTGTATCGAATCCCACACTCCCTGAGCAGATCAAAAAACGCCCCATTCAATGCTTTCCACTCTGAAGCGTTCTGATACGCTATCCTGACACTGTCTGCGCTCAGCCACTCTACATTGCCAGCCTCGCAAACTACCACTGTAGCGCGTTGCATTCTTGACCGTGACCTTGCCCACTCCTCTGTTTGCGCTAGTGTCTTGAGGGCGTCGGGTTAGGGTTAGGGTTAGGGTTAGGGTTAGGGTTAGGGTTAGGGTTAGGGTTAGGGTTAGGGTTAGGGTTAGGGTTAGGGTTAGGGTTAGGGTT